GTTGCTCCCCACAGCTTCTTTGCATCCCTGAACAGAAAGCACAAGCAGCTCTTGGGGACACCAATGCCTCCACCGGGAGTGTATCCATGCTTCATCACCGTCTGTGCTCAGAACCAGCCCCAGCCTCATCTCGCAGAGCACTGGATTGCTGGGGCTGCTAGAGAGAACTGCACGGCACGCCGGGATGCCCGCTCGGTGGCACAGCCCTCCTGGAAATGCCACTTGCCCCTGAGTGAGAGTTGCTTTTCCAGCCATGTTTGCAGATGCTTTATTGATGCTGCGGGGCTTCTCCTCGTTTCAGCTGATCAATAACCCCCGGGGAGGAAGATCTAAGTGCAGCGCCTGCGGGACAGGATGGCTGCTGCCGCTGGGGCAGCCAAAGCCACGAACATGATCAAAGCAGCTTTGCCATGTCAGGTCTGTTTTCTATAAAGGATTTGTTTGATTTACTCTTCTCCCTTTAAAATCTCCGTCTCAGTCGGATCAGCTTTTCCATTACCTTGCTGGGGCTGATGGTGAGATAACCACTAAATGCACACCCCGTGTGTGCTGTTTCCTTTTTTGAGGTCCTTGCCTGGCCCTGACCACCTGGGACTTCCCCAGCTGCTTGCGGAGATGGTTTATATTGAGATGGGTCCAACCTCTCCTGTCCCCAGGAAGAGGTGGCTCATAGTTCCCCCTCGCCCTCGCCGCCCACACCCCTGCAGAGCCCGGCTGACTCCTGCCCAGATGCCATCATCTTCCTCAAAGAGAGTCAGAGTTTTTTTTGTTCAAGGCTGGAAAACCTGGTGGGGATCTGTATCTCACCCCCAAAGCTGCTCGCTGGGGTGGGAGCAGGTTGTGCAGCCTCTGAGACATTGCCCAGTACCCAGCCGCCCTGAGGCTGTGGCGATGGGCCCACCTCCTGCTGTCAGAAGATGCAAACATATAGAAATAAGATGCAACAGATGCCACCATCCTTGTCCAGGGGACACTTCACCAGGAAAGTCACGGCCAAGCCCTGATTTCAGACATGTTAATCATGCAGGAGCACTGGTGCACACACCGCAGGCATTGCTGGAAGAATCTGCAGCTGCATCGCCAGGCTTGGACCAGCCCATCTTGCCCTCGCCCGCCTAACCCAGGCACGGGGAAAGGCTGGCAGCGATGCTCCCCAGCTGCAGGAACCAGCAAAGCCAGCAAAACGAATGACATGATGGGGCTTTGATGTAGATCTCTGGGGTTTTGGGCTCTCTCTTGGTTTTGGAACCCGTGCTCTGCTCCTGGCTGGGGGCTGTGCCAGGGCCGCCCCCCCTTTCTCAGCTGCCAGTGCTGGGCAGTGGGATGTGGGTCACCCTACGTCCCACTGGCCCCATAACAGGGAAGGCAGCCCCAAAGGGAAAGGTTTTCAACCCAAAGCAGTGGATGGGGAGCTCAGGGCACTCGTGGCAGAGCTGATCCCAAAGGCAAAAAGCTTTCCTCCGGGATGGTGGTCCCTCTCTGCATCACCCAGAGGAAGGGGCTTTGCAGTACCCATGTTGTGCCCTTCAGGCGACTCGTCCCCCGGCGCTTCATCCTCTCTCAGCTGTCCCAGGCTGAACTTTTCCCCCTTCCGTGGCGTCCCCCGCCGTGTGCTGCTTGACTCATTTCCCGTGTCCTTTGGCCCCCGGCATCCTGGCTGCCCCCACACAAGGACCGGTGCTGGCTGAAGAGCTGATTTCACATCAAATTCATCTGCTTGAGATTGCAATCAGGGCTGAGCTGCTCAAGTTGAGTGATGTCTTCCCCCCACTCCCCAACCCTGGCCTTTGAAAACCCAGAGTTTAAAACTAAAATAAACCCAAAGCACTATCGGCCTCCTTATCTGCACCCTGATTTCTGCAGGTTGTATGTGCCTCATGATTTCCCAGCAACTCAAAGGGCAAGAAACAGCATTTAATGGTGGAGAAAAAAAGAAGAAACCCCAAAAGAGCAAGTAAGATGCTCATGAAATCATCTACACACAGGAGCTGAAGTCAAAAATAATCCAAAAGTTCACACTAGGGACCTGCTGGGCTCTCTGGATTTTCTCCAGGCACAAGACCCGAGGCTGGGCAGCGCTGGGAGGGTGCGGGGAGGCAGCGATGGGCAACGGGCATCAGCGTCACAGGGATGTGGGGGGCTCTGCTGCACCACCCCAAATCCCCTTGCGACCCAGCCCTGGGTCCTCATGGTGTGTTTCCCCAGGCTGCAGCTATCA